AAGATAGCATTCTTGCCATTTGGTTATCTCATGGATTTGTGGCGATGGGATGTCTTCTCAGGCAAAACAAGTTCCGATGAGTTAAACAAAAAGTGGTGGGAATTGAGAATCAAATATCAAGGATTGTCGCCTCCTGTGAAGAGATCGGAGCAAGACTTTGATGCCGGAGCCAAATACCATATATCGGCGGGCGTTGAATACATCAGGTCTTTAATCAGTCTTAACCAATAAATATCACAAAATTGTTTAATAATTGTCAAAATATTCTTCTTCAACAGATATTTCGTGTCTTTTATAATACAATTCCAATTTCATAAGGCTTTGTGCGGAAGGGCTCAGCCGGACGTTCCTCTCTATAAGTGCGATATCGATGGCAACAAAGAGGCCGGTCTTATATTGTCTGAAGCTCTCAAACTCGGCTCATCCAAGCCGTGGCCCGACGTTATGGAGATATTGACCGGCAGTAGACAAATGAGTGCCAAACCATTGATTGAGTATTTCGATCCACTTCTTAAATATATTGAGAATGAGATCCAAAACGAGACGATCGGATGGACAGCAGATGGTATCCATTTAATTAATGCCAATTAATTATATCAATTAATTTAAATGCATATTTAGTGAACGCATATATGGAAGCGCCGACTGAGGCCATCAAAGGCGGGGAAACTGATTTGGAAACACGTATTCAAACATTAGAGACAAACAATCAGTTATTAAACAACAGAATCATAAAACTTGAAGAGGAAATGATTCATCAAAAGAAAGTAATGGAAGTGTTGACTCTCAATAAAACTGTTCAATTTGTTTAATAATCAAATCAATAAAAATTATTTCTTGCCCTATATATCCATATTATAAGTATTTCTATTTTAAATATATTTTTATAATAATAATAATCCTTTTATTTATATTTATTCTGACCATCGTCAACTAGAATTTTATTATATTATGTAATTTGTGACATTATTGACAATTTAAATATCATAAAAATACAGTACAAATGCACATATTTAAGGAATTATTTCTCAAGGAAATAGAGCACATGTAGTTTAGATTCAAACATCATTTGAAATGAGTCAACATAACTGAATATCTCAAACAAATTTGTCTTCGTTTGGGTTTCAAACGATTGATAATATATAATAATAAATGGCCTTTCATTTTAACCTAGTCCTTATCTCTGCCATAGGTTTTCATAACTGGAGAATAATTTTCAGCTAAAGTTATTTCTGTAGTTTTAATAGTGTTGACACCAATTGAGTTCGTATTTAACATATTATCCGGATTTATGCTTTCGTTGTCTCTATCAGTCTGAGGCCATCAAAGGCGGGGAAACTGATTTGGAAACACGTATTCAAACATTAGAGACAAACAATCAGTTATTAAACAACAGAATCATAAAACTTGAAGAGGAAATGATTCATCAAAAGAAAGTAATCGATGTGTTGACTCTCAACAAAACTGTTCAATTTGTTTAATAATCAAATCAATAAACATTATTTCTTGCCCTATTATCACATCCATATTATCAGTATTTCTATTTTAAATTTATAATTAATAATTTTATAATTATAATAATCCTTTTATTTTTATTTATTCTGACCACAGTCAACTAGAATTTTATTATATTATGTAATTTGTGACATTATTGACAATTTAAATATCATAAAAATACAGTACAAATGAACATATTTAAGGAATTATTTCTCAAGGAAATAGAGTATATTTAGTTTAGATGCAAACATCATTTGAAATGAGTCAACATAACTGAATATCTCAAACAAATTTGTCTTCGTTTCGGTTTCAAACGAGTGATAATATATAATAATAAATGGCCTTTCATTCTACACTAGTCCTTATCTCTACCATAGGTTTTCATAACTGGAGAATAATTTTCAGCTAAAGTTATTTCTGTAGTTTTAATAGTGTTGACACCAATTGAGTTCGTATTTAACATATTATCCGGATTTATGCTTTCGTTGTCTCTATCAG